TGGACTGCTTGACACTGTTGACGATGGCAGCCATCACTTTCCCATCATTAATCTGCCATACTTTGATTTCGGTAGCATTGCTATTATCGGTCTTCCTTTCGGGTCCATCATCAGTCAAGTGAAAGGCCAAACCGTAACCCCTTAACACGGTTTCAACCGAGAAAGCCCACTCCCGATAATTCTGACCATCAAGAGTAATATTGATAACAATTCCATGAAGTTGCGACATGATTGGACAAACACGTAGTAACAAGCCTCGACGAAGTGTGAATGAAAGTGCTGCGACAGGCAGCGTTGGGGCACACAATAGGCTAGTGACAACAAAAAAACAGAAATTGACGACGGTCGGACAGATTAGAGTACAAAAACCCTAACCCTGAAGAGTGACGGATCTGAAAATGCACAAAACGAACACCAAAACCTCCCGAAACAGAAAACAAAGGACACTGGCAGCAAGAGCACAAAATTCCGAGTTCACGGATGGTCGCCGGAAAAAATTCCGGCCAGCCACGCGCCGGCGCGTGGGATTGACAGCAGACATTCCCGGTGGCGCGTGTGACTCACACGCGCGACTTCTGACGGCGAGACTTTGCCGGACGGTCGTTCTCGGGTTGTGGGAGGTGAGATCGAAAAAAGATATTTATGTGTAAGGCTGTGATACCATGTTACAAACCTTAGGGTTTTGGACAATGAATATTCACAAGAGGAGGCCCCATATATATAGACTTAGGACATATAGGACATATGGGTTGTGGGCCTATAATATAGCAGTTAACAGTCTGGACTCTCGATATTTCTTGGCATTTCATTGAATATGAATTTGAACATCTAGACACATTTTTTCATCAAACTTGCTTGCATTTTTCTGAACACACTAATGAAAGTACATCTATACAACATGTTCAATAGCTTCTCTATTCACTCAAGTAAGTTTATTAATGTTCTCTCCTGTATGTATTTTGATAGGAATCCATTAGCCAATACATATAGTAGATCTATGATCGAAGTAGAATTTAATATTGGACATGATTGGATATGATCCCCTTTTATCTCTATCTCTTGCTTGATTTATGATCTTATATTAAAGTTCAAAGGTTTCTCTATGAGGTGAAAGGATAGGACTGATGATCTCAAGTAATAGGTCGAGCAACAAGACCTCATAATATTTTCTTCTACATTACCTACTCTTTTTTTACCTATTTTTATTTTTCTTAACTTATATATATATATATATATATATGCCTTTTAATTTATTTGATACCCATACATTTCAATTAACCATTATTCTTCTGAGTGACTTAGCTCAATTAGTAATTATGTCTCCACATACTTCATAATTTTTCTTTTCCTGTGGGTTCATTTTTATATTCCATCCTAAATTTGTGTATCTTTATATATGTACAATGTGTTGAGTATAAATAAATTATTTTTTATTGATTTATTATCTTTATTTCGTTATTTTGAATATTATTTATGTAATTTTTTTTATTTAATTTTCTTTTCTCAAATACTTAATTTTTGAAAGTTGTATGATGCCATATCATACAAATGAAGTTATTGATAAAACAATAACACTTTCATTCAATGTTATTATTTATAAATATGATATGATTAATATTCGACTTAGTTTGAGATAGAACATCAGCTGCAAAATTTATGGATAACTCCCTTATAACCATCTTTCAGTTTGAACCCAAATACAATACTCACCTCTAGGAGATTCTCCAATGCTTAAATATTGTGATTGAATATAGTGTCAAATGTCAATTAATTAAATATATTGTCAATCATTAATGTAATGTTCACAACTATAAGACTACAGAATTTCCTCCAATTCAGAATGTAGACACATCAAAATATTGTCCACTTACCCAACATGATATGATTACAAAGGAGGAAAAAGTAATAATGGAATAAACGAATAGCTTAAAATTAGTAAATTATTTTCTATCTTAGAAAATGTAGAAGATAATGTGAATTAACCACTTTGTTCTTTACATTGTGGATGGATGTTGTGCGCTCATCATCTCTACATAAAGCAACCATGGTTTGACAATTTTTTTTTGTTATTTGTGGGCCCAATATGCCACTTCATCATGGTAATAACACCATGTTTCTATTCACATTCAATTAACTGTACCACTCATTAGTTGTGGGTCCCACATTTTTTCACTTGTTAAAGCATTTAGGGGCGGTTGGCTACAAATTGTACGGTTTTGACGGACCGTATAATTTGTTTTACACCTTTTAACTCAAAATCCAACTCAACTCTCATCAATATAATTAAATAATATCAATCATTTATCTTCACACATCACATTAACTTTAATTCAATATTCATCCAAACACATACTTTTAACTATCTATTATTTTCAATAACATCTCTCCTACTTTTACACCACATCAACATTAATCAATAACCACATCAACATTAATCAATAACAGTTCAAAAATTATTCAACTACAAACTCAAAATTACGCTCAATCCTCCAATCAATCAACTTTATTCAATATAATTCACTTTAACCAGTCAAATTCAATCAAAACCGGTTTATTTATATCCAATCGGCCCCTAAATGCTTTTACACATTTCAACAATGCAACCCACCCCCTCATTTAAATAAGTACCTACATTGGGTTAACACCATGGAGGCATTATAACACTTGTGTTGCCTTATTACATTGTGCATTGTAAGGTAAAAAGAGAAGTTTATTAATGTTAATGATGTGACATTCAAATCACTACAACTACATGTTTGCATTGGTGACACGAATAAAATTGCCAAATTATTTGGGGTATATTCGCTTGGAATTTGAGTGTATTTTGAGACTTTTTGAAATTTGAGACTTTATTATTTTTAAATTTAGGAGGAATCATATGAAATCTTAAGTATGAAAGTAAGATATGGAGCAATATTCTTATATAGTTTTTTTCTATTGAAATTTCAGTAAATCATAAAAAGTCTTTAACAAATCTTAAGTTAAGTACCTCAAGATTTTGTAAGACTATAAAATCTCAAATGAATACCTCAAAACTTTTAAAAGTTTTAGAAAGTCTTAAAAAGTCAAAGTTAAATACACTAGAATTTTTAAAATGTTAAATAATATTTAGAAATTTCAAACGAATACAGCCCCCTTAGATTCTCTTAAAAAAAAAAAACTAATTTGTTTAATGTATTCCAAACTTTTCCGGAATAATGACATATATATTTTTTTAATACGTACAAAATCTTTGTTTTTTAAAATAAATAAAATTTTCATTCATTGATAAATTATTTCATGGTACTACTTGTAAGAAATTATGTTTTCATATATTTATTTCCTATCTATTAATAAATTCTTATTTTGTATTTATTTCCTATCTATTCACAAATTCTTATTTTGTAGATAGTTGTATCTGAATTTATTTTACATGTAATATGTGTTAAATTGAAAATCTTAAAATTCTATTTAATTGATATATTATATACAAAATGTGGATACACAAAATAGTTTGTAAAATTGTTCGCTAAAATTTTGGTTAGTGATAAAGGAAATTTTGTAAACATAATTTTTGATATATATTTTTTTTTAGCATTATCAAAATTTTTTAGAAATAAATTTTATTAATTTCTTACTTGATTTTTACAATTAATATTTTTTTTTTTGTAATTCTAGATATCTCCGTAAAAATATATCAACTGTTATAAAGTATATTTTTTATAATATAAATTACAATATAATCATTTATTTTAGGTTATACATACAAATTTATTGCATTATGTTGAATGCATAATTTAATGTACTTACTATGTCATAATACCATGATATATAAATTAATATGCAAAATATCTTGATTTGATATTAACCCATGCTGAAGTTAATTGCTCAATTGCATAATATCTTAACTAATTTTTTTTTAAGTTATTATATTTATTGTTTGATAAATATCTATGAATGTAAGAAATAATTAATTTGTCTATAATTATAGAAATTAGAATCTTAATATTTTATCTTGTGTTATAAAAATTTACTATATGAATCATAAGCTATTGTTATTTCATGACAGTTAATATATTCACGAAAGAAATGATTTTAGTTTTTGGTAACCGGGTTGATTAAATAGGGTCATTAGGTCAATTTTCGGTTATTTATACAATATGTCATAACTTGGGTTGCATTCCGGGCGATCATGTCATGAGCCAACTTAGTTGGACCAAATTGAGTGATCAAACTAAAGATGCATTAATATAAGAAAAAAACATTGTTAAGATAAATATAATGTAGTCTAAATAATAAAATCAAGAATGCTTGTATGAGAAGAAGTTGAACGTATTTTATTAACATTTATGTGAATAAAATGATGGTATATTATAACTTTTATCTAATATTGTATAGTAAATAGTAACCCATGTCATTTAATATTTTAATTTGTTATACAACTTTAATATTGTTTCCTCTGTTCAGATGAGCCATATTAGTTTTTTTTTTTTATTATTTACTTAGAAAATTAGTGATTAAAAAGGGTGGTAACAACTAACAAAGGCATATTTGTATTTTCAAAAGAACTCTCGTTTTATACATTGATCTAAGCTCTAAAAATGCGGTGAGTAAGTAGGGTTGCTAGTTTTCTAAGAATCAGTACTATTTTCGGCAGGTGTTTCCCCTGGGAAGGCTGCAGTTATGCAGATATGTGGAGACAATAGTTGTTGCCATGTGTTGCACATTTTTCACTCTGGCATTCCTAAAAAGTTGCGAACTTTGCTTGAGGACTACTCTTCTTTGAAGGTGTCGATTTACATATGAAAACAGTAATTATTAGATATTTTTGTTTTACCTATGTAATTTTTTTTTTCTTTAGTACTGTTTATCATCTTAACCCAATTGAGTGCTCATAGGTGGGGGTGGGTATTGCAAATGATGCAACTAAGGTCCATCGTGATTATAATACATTAATTAATAACTTAGAAGATCTTTCCGATCTAGCCAATCGAAAGCTCGATGGGAAACCCAAAAAGTGGAGTCTATCATCGCTATCTGAGATGGTCATTTGCAGACAGGTACTTGAATAGCCACTCTCGTTATTTTTCATCAACGATTTTAGGAGAATGATTCTTTGAAACTTCTGATTGTACCTATGTAATAGGCATTTTGATACTTTAAAAGAATAAGAATTATAGACGGCTAGTTCATCAAACTGAATTTAAGATAAAAGAATTACGTGCAATGATAATTTTGTACTTTTTACGATAATTACTCAAGTTAATTGTCTGAAAAAGATTGTGAATGAAAGTATGATTGGATAGAAATTATTTTAGAAAAAAATATCTTAATAGATGTGATGAAAAATATGGAAAACAGTTTTAGGTGAAAGGATGAATTATTTCTGAGTTTGTGACAAAATATGGATAAATGTTATGATTAAAATTGATGTAATATAAAAGTAGTCTAATAATTGGTTGATAATTAAAATATGTGAGTAGATGAATAATGATTTTGTTGGAAAATCTGTAGCAGTGGTTGTTTTGTATTTTTAATTGTGTTGATAAGAATGTATAGAAAAAAGGTAAAAATAGATAAAAAGTAAGTTTTTTTGAAAAAAGCGTATCCAATCACATGTCTAGCGGAAGCAATTTATGCAACGAGATGAATTTGGGTATAATTTATATCTAATCGCCCATACAAATAAAAATTTGGAAAATTATAGATAATTTCAGAACTGACACCATAGTTAAACTTGATATAACTAATGAAATAATCAAAACTTTGGTCAATCCCATTTTTTCCATGTAGCTCTTCAAGTGTGCCTACTGCAACGATAGTTAAAATCCTGTTTGCAAAAGACTGAACCAAACCGGAAACCAGGACCTTACAAATGAAACCAAATTACCATTTGAAAAAGAGAAAAAAAAAAGGAGCTGCACCCCACCGAATTGATTAGTTGGGCTAACCTTTTTTGATTCCGATTGAATTTTGCTCGCTCCTAGCTAGTACTATTCATATATTTCGAGGATTGTGTCACACAGTGTGATCGCGGAATCATTTTCGATCTTAAGTTTCTTGGTCATGTTATAGGAATATTCTGATTAAATTTGGTTAGCTTTAGGTAGTCAGTTGCTGCCGTTATTATACAATGTGAGAGATATCACTTGTTCTCTCACTGTGATTAATTAGAATTGAACTACTTCTTTCATCAATTTGATTTAGGATAATACCTCACTTGGGTGGCTAGTGGGCTCCTTCTCACATTACGTGCGTTTCATGTGTGGGGCTATACCAAGTCCCCCCCAAAGTTAGCATCCGTGATATATAGTATTAATGCTTCACCCACCATTCCTTGACTATATTTCAGGACCGTGACTTGTGATAACTTTTGTATACAATTGTACGTAATTGTCTTTTGGAGATGAAGCATGAAAAAAAATATAATGACAAACGACTTGATCAAACAACAAACACAAACCACGAATACGATTTTTATCCTTTTGTATAGCGGCACTTCATATACACAAGATTTCTGCGGCTCACTTGTGTTTAAAATCCTCAAGAAAAGAAGAAAGAATGATGAATACAAGATGAACTTCTATCTCAATTTCTTATATTTATTTTAAGTATGTTATAAATTTCAAATTATAAGGATATTTATATGTGGGAAAACATCACCACGAGGAGTCTTGAGGGTCAAAAACACATTTAGGAATGTGTCTGGATCCTGAACAAAAATACAATTTAAGAACATAGAACAAATGACCTGTCACGGGCCGCGACAAGCGTCATGCCCGACTACTGAAAAATGGGAATGGTCGTGAGTAGGAGTTGTTGGACCGTCGTTGGTTGCGACGGTCGTCGCGGGCCAAGACGGAGCCAAGCGCATGCCCACGTGCCACACATCTATAGTTGCGTATTCGGGCACCAAAAAAGTGCCTGGTTGAGTCGTATTCGTTCCCAACAGACCCTTGTTTGAGTTCTATCATGTCTTGTGCATTTCCTATCACTTGTTTGACTTGTCCGAGCATTTGCCAAAGACCAGTTGCTTCCAAATCCAACAATTTTTTACTTACTTAAACTTTAAATTTTAGTAGGGCTAAGCATAGGACACGTTAAATATCGAATCATTTTGAAAACCGAACTGAAATAATTTTGCACGCAAAAATAATTGTTGACCGTTAGACTTTATCCAAACCGAAACGAATAAAAAAAAATTGGTATTGTTTTGTATATTGCATAGATATTTGTGTTGAGGACTGAACCAAACAATAACTTTAAATGTGTCTTTCTTTTTCTTTTATGTCAATTTGAGTCGTAGATAGTTGATTATTTTGTTAATATTTAATAATATCAATTAAAATTCATATAGATTTAATATTTCTAAAAGTTTAATTATATTACATTTTTTGGTATGCTTCTATATCTTAATGTTAAAATGATAAGAAGAACATAAATTATATTTTTTAAAATTCATATATGTGTTTACTAGGAATTTAAGTTTTCAGCATTTGCTTTTACAAAGTATAGTTATAACTAAAATTGCGATTCATTTATGTTTTTTCTAATCTGTTAATGGTGATTTCAAAATAAAAATCTTAATAAGATTAAAATTCATTAAAAGTTAAAAAAAAGCTGAACATTCCTACCTTGCCTCGAGCGCTACGGAATTATGTAATTAGGTGGGCTGCCGCAAGCCTCATCCCACCTCAGAGACAGAAAGTCGAAAGAAGGCGAAGGGGCGCAGTAAAGCGTTGGAATCTTTCATTTTCCCCGGATTTTTTGTTCTTTTTTAACATGCCGATGGCAGCATTCTACTGATTGGATTACCTTCCTTATAGTATGAATTCTCTCTCTGAGTTACGGCTTCGATACATCGGTAAGGTAAGCCTCGTAATCTAGTATGACCGAAGCATTAGCCCTGTCTCTATCCTTGGGCTAATTGAATAACAGATTCCTCTTATATTAGTATAAAGACTGATCTTCTCATGGAAAAAGTAATGATGCCGACTCTCTCTTCGGGGACGGGGCGCATAAGCTTGACCGATGAAGTTCAGGTTCGATAACCTATTCACTTTTATGACTTCACTTCGCTTCGTTCGTTGGGTCTTAGAAGTTTAGGGCACGAAGTGACTGCGGGTACATGCGAAGAAATGAGAAAAAGAACTGCTAGAGAATTGGGAGTTCCTATCATAATGCATGACTACTTAACATAACAGGAGGATTCACTGCAAATACTAGCTTGGCTCATTATTGTCGAGATAATAGACTACTTCACATTCATCGTGAAATGCATGCAGTTATTGATAGACAGAAGAACCATGGTATACACTTCCGTGTACTAGCTAAAGTGTTACTTATCTCTGGTGGAGATCATATTCAATATGGTACCTACGTAGGTAAACGTCAAAGGAGTAAGAGACATCACTTTGGGCTTTGTTGATTTACTGTGTGATGATTTTATCGAAGAAGATCGAAGTCGCGGTATTTATTTCACTGGTTGTGTCTTACTTGATCCTCCCTAGGCTCAGTCCTTTTTCTAGAAAGTGTAGTCTGGATTCTACTATCCTTCTTTTTCTAGGCCTTAGACCTTCCTTGACTTGGTTTCAGGCATTCCAACCAAAAAGGATAAAGTTCAAAGGTAACAAGAGAGAAGGACGGATACTAGAAAGATGACCTCGAAACTGCTATGCTATTAAGGCTTCCACAAAGAAGCAAAGAGAACTTTGCTCTATAGTCGGGAATGAGCTATCAGTCAAGAGGATAGTACATACAACGACTTAGTCAGTCTTGCTTTCAAAATGCAATCTCATAGGCAGAGGAAAGGGAAAAACTCGGATGCGAGGGACTAAAGGACCAATACCTTTCTTTCTTCTCAATTACATCGACCCTCATCTTCAGCAAAAGACCTTGGGCTGCGTTGAGAACTCCTTTGTCCCTGGTCAAAAGATCCGCTCAAAGGAAGAGAAGCGGCAAGGCTACTATATTAGATTTTTGAGTCCCAAGCTGTTGACCAAAAGGGAAGGGAAAGCCAAGGCCCCGTCAGGGACTTTGAACGCGCCCTCGCTGCTGGCTGATTTGATCCTTTGTGCCCAGATCTTGAGATAAAAGGGCTCCTAACGCGTGGCCTCACTAGTTTATCTACTACTTTGTCCTTTGTCTTTGTTCCTAGTTTCAATGATCGAAGACAAAAGACTGGGCCGAGGGATTCTCGAACAGTATCTTGAAGGGCGTCCTTAAAGGAGGCAAGGGCAAAGGGGCTCAGGGATGCCAGTGTCAGGACATATATTCTTTTCCTAGTTCCTAGACAACAATATCAACTATGATATAATAGAAAATGCAAAGAAAGTAGGACTGGAACCTACGAGCTTTCTATTACCATGCTTTAGATCAAAGACATCCTCCAGACTTGAAGCGGGCAATCGTTCTTCCTCAAACTTGAAAGCTAGGCTTCTAGCCAATCTGTTGCACTAATACGGACTAATAATTCGACTAATGTCACACTAATAACGACAAATGTCGAAGTCTTACTCTTCTTCCTCTAGGGAAAAGGACAGGACCTCAGCTGCAACTACGAACTCCCTTGGCTTGGGCCTTGACCTTGAACTGCTAACTCCTTTGTCCCCTTGGGTCGGTCAAAGGAAGAGAAGAAGAAGACCAGGCAAGCTTCGAAGACCAATACTATCCTTTGTTGTGCCCGGATGTTGATCAAAAGGAAAGGAGGGAAAGGCCTGGATGAAGCCGTTTTAAAGCTCCGATTGGCCTCGCTGCTGACAGATAAGACCCGAGGTGCCAAGAACGTCAGATAAAAGGGCTCCTGGCGCAGAGAAGTGGCCTTACTACTTCTATTTCCTTTGTGCCTACTTTCAATGATCAGAGAAAAGGAAAAGACAAAAGACTGAGTCGAGGCGTTGATCCAGATAGAATGGTTGGCTTTCTCAATCGCTTTCTCGGCCGTGAAGTACGTACTTCTGTTTGGAGTCTTTTCCTTACTTAGTTAGAACTTTGATTGACTAGAGTAGCCCCTATGTATCCGAAGGCGCCCTTTTGTTTATGCGCCTTAAACGTGATTTGGCTTATAGTTAAGCGAATCTATCCCTCTTAGGTCTTTTAGCACGTAGATCGTCTAACAGGATTTCAGCCTAAACAACAAGCTCCGAGCGGGTATTAGTTCATTCAGTTTGGATTTCCTCAAACTCAAACATAGGCGCTATAGGCAGCTACCCGAGAGATCAATCTTCATGCAAGGAATGTGGGAAATAAACTGGCTCATCTTCTATAGATGGCTTGATGTAATTTACCTAAAGGATTTGCCTGGAGCAGAAAGTGAAAGTTTGGGGCAGAAAGTGAAAGTTCAGTTGTCTATCTAAGATGTAGGTCGGAAGCTATCAAGAAGGCTGCATTTCCTTGATTATGAGGATGGAATGGACTATGTTGGCATCCAACAACGTTTGCAAAGATTCTCTGGAGAGAAGTTGACAAGGATTAGCATTACAGTCTCTCTGTGGTTGTCTTCCTCTTGTACGCTCCTAGGTGATGAAGCCCGTTCGTCAGTTGCTTGCTCTTTCTAGCTCTCTCCGAGCATTAGATTATGAAGGTAGATTGGGATGTAGAAAACACTTGCTTATATTCCTAGTAGCGGTTGTTCCTCCGCTTTCGGATTCGAGTTAGGTTCGATGTAATTGACGAGAGGGATGAATTCGAGTAGTCGCCAGGGGAGGAAAACTTTCATCTAGCTAGGATTTAATTATTCCTCCTAATATTTGATCTGGACCATACCAATTAGAACTGTCCTGGTAGCTTCGAATCTTTGAACCGAACCGAATTAACTGAAATACAAATCTCTAAACAGTGCTCACCCTTAAGATTGTTTCCACGTACTACGTAGAACTAAATAATCATGTATATTAAAATGCTTTTGAGGAAATTTCATAGTCTTTCATTTACGTAAAGTAAATGTAAAATAGGTACAAAACCAATATTTATTTCAATTCACCACATGAATGAAATTAATGCACATAGCAATATTTAAGAGTTGCGACAAACAATTCTTGCATCAGGATAAATAACTTGTGGTCTTGAATCTTTTTTAATGAAATAGTATCAGATATACTAGCCAATTAGTAGCAATATGATTTGAAATTACTGGTCATTAGTGTGCACAAAGACAATAGTACTCACACAACAACCGTTTAATGCTTTCATATTCTTATGTTTTGTCGATTTTGGCCTTAGACTATGTCTCGCTTTAGTTAGTGTTCCTTTAAAGGGGAAAATTACTTCTCATTTTATAAAGAGTATTCCGCCTTACTTCACCGGTATAAGAATTATTAGAATTATTAGAAGTCCATGGCTTATCCTCACAACTTATTAAATAGCTTGTGGTCTTGAATTTTTTTGGTGAAATAATATCGGGTATACTAACCAGTTAGTAGCAATATGATTTGAAATTACTGGGTGTTGTGTGTACAAAGACTAAGACAATAGTACTCATACAACAACAACTTAACACTTTTGTGTTCTTATGTTTTGTCGATTTTGGCCTTGGACCATGTCTCCCTTTAGTTAGTGTTCATTTGAAGGGTAAACTTACTTCTCACTTACATTGTCGAATCTTTTATAAAGAGTATTCGCCTTACTTCATCCCGAAGAATCATTAGAAGTCCATGACTTATCCTCAAAACTTAAGGCGAAATTTAAACTTGACTTAACTGAACGGATATACTTTTCAAGTGTTTCATTGAACGGACGAAACTTATGTTTTCTATTGACTGAACCAAGTTTTTGTGATCTTTGATACCCATGGTTGAGTTACATGTTCGTTTGTTGTAGATTTTGTTAGCTCATTTTCCTAACTTATGTATAATTTATTTATTTTCATGTTTTTGTAAATGTTTCGTTAGGTTAATATTTAACTTCTCATACCCAACCGATATAACCTTTACATGAGATTATTTTGTTTTGCGTAATTAAGTCTGCAACATAAATATCAAGACTTGTCTTCAAATTACTTTGTGCCCTTCAAATCACGTATCGATTATAAAAATTAATCATCATGAATTGATGGGCACTATGTGCAACATGGGTTATCTTTTAGGGAATAACATCTTCCCAACTTTGTTCAAATTTTTAAACTCGGACTTCATCTTCACGTTTGCTTACATTATTTCATGGCCACAACTTTACCCCCTACAGTTAACGTGTATTCACTTGTAGACTTAGAGTTTTTTTTGTGTCCAATAGTGGATTCAACACAATCAAAATTTATTGCTCGAGTTAATCTTGAACCTTGATAGTTTACTCGCTAAAATTTGCAATGTTGGAGCGAGTACTATTCAACAAGTACCTCAAGCTTCCAATCACTATGCATGTTCTAGCTGAGAAGTTGGCCATTCTCGTTTTTTCGATGAGTGTAGGGTCATATCTACATAAGTCTTAGCCGGAGTTTTATTGAGCACATCTAATCTCTTTCAAATTCTTTTGATATGATGAAATTGTGATAAAACAATTCTTTCCGATCTCTTAGAAGCTTAATCTCCATAATCATCTAATCTTCCATGTCAAAATTTTTCTTGTATTTATGAACACATCATGATTATTTCAAGATCAACATACTTACAATCACAAAGACATAGCGGAACTTTTAATATAGACACATATTGTCATTCATTGATTTTAAAATCATTCGACAAAATAGCTTTACCAATTTTTTCATGCCATTACTTAGGTACTCTACTTTGGGCCAAAAGCCCCTCACATCTCAAGGTATAAGTATGAAAGCTATTTCTCTTTTTTTTACTCAAACGGGGTTTCCTTTCTACCTTATGTGGTGTTTTAATAACATTTTTTCAAAATTATTACTTAATGACAACAACAATCATGATTTACAACAATAGTAAAGACACCATTAAGTAGGAAAATTAAACACAAATGAGACTTTTCTAGCCGTCAAATTTACACAAATAAAAAAATGATTGATTTTATTTTCGAATTTTCAACATATATTTTTTAATTTACTTTTATTTAATCATATTCAAGTTTGTATTTCAGTGATTCTTCCATGTTATATGATTTATGATGAAATATACCCCAACTTTATTAAACTAATGGAAAATATTAATTATAATATAAGCATAAATCCAATAAAAAACAAATTTAGAATTTGTTCCTCAAGATTGGTTGTGGTGGTATAGGTTGACTTGAACTTGAAATTAGCTATCGGCATATCAGAAATTAGGATATGCTATGGGTTAGAACTTTCTGATTTTGTTAATATGCAGCACTTTTGTGTTACAAAACAAGCCTTTGTATTTATACAAAATATGTAAATTTCTCTAACCATGGTGGCATTTTGCATGGTATCTTGATGGATGCCAGCCAAGTGTCGGGTCCTGAGAATGTTTGCACTTCAACTCGGCTTTCATGTTTGTAAATACTAAAATTGTATGTTTTTCTTGATTATTACATCAAAAAATTTGGAAATGTTTTATGCATGTGTTTCTCCATTGCTATCCAAGTACTTCGTGCCCTGATTTTACTTCCATGGCAAAGGGCTACATCCGTTGGCCATGTGGAAAAGGGTTTTCTATTTATTAGAGAAGTAATTTTTCACGCACCTATCATTTGAATCACCTTCAAATTCTACTCCATTACAGTTTTTTCGTGTCTGTCATGTGTATTCAGTATAACAAATGGTCATCTATGGGGTTCGAATGAGAGTGCAAGAGCTAGTGCTCGGTTCATTAAATTCTAACTAGTGCATTTTGACTTTTGTAGATTCCCAAGCCAGGTAAAATCAGGCTGGGAAATTGGGAAGCTCGTGTTCTATCTAGAGAACAAATAAAATATGCTGTCATTGATGCATATGTCTCTTGGTACCTGTATCAGGTATAGGATGCCTTTAATTGCTCTTGTTGGGATTGTTCAAGTTTCTTTCTCATTGTCTTTCCCTCCATTTCATAATATATTTGTATTAATTCTTTTGGTACTTATTATCCGAGTTTTGAAATTTCTTTGTGCATTACAGGTGCTGAAAACCCATGATCCTAGTGGTAACTCAGGTGTGGAAATTGCTGTTGACAAATTTACTTAATAATGTCAATCGGAATCCGTGGTTAATTTTGTGTGATAGGGGTCACCGGTTAAAAGTAAAAACCATACACCTTGTTCTTGCTCTTGGCTCGTAACATTGCCCTTGCAACTCGTTGCAATTTCTCATGGTAATTTGAACATCAACTTTCCAGGAAATATTGTCAAGTCTCACAAGGCATTGAACAGTAAAATTTAAGTTAGTTTCAGGCTGGGAAATTGGGTCTTCGTTATCGGCTAGATTGACGGACTGTCATATTCTTTTGAACATGGAGATTTTTCCTTGCAATTGGGATGGAGAATTAACTTGCACTTGGGATGGACTTTGAAAGAATGTATCAATTTGTTTATGAAGTTTCTCCTCATTCTTTGTATTCTACCGGCTATACCAAATGCAATATGCGATCTTTTTGCAAGTACTAACCTATTTTTGAAGTGAGTACACTTCTAGGAGGATTATAAGCGTTCCACTATTTCCTATTGAATAGCCTCCGGAGTACAAATATTTATAGCACAGTTGGTGAGTCCAAGATAGAACCTACGAGAGGTAGAACTTGGCAAAAAAATTTGTTCAATTCGGAGAATTATAATGGGATTCATAAACATTAGAGTTCCTCAAATATTGGGATTCTACACAATACAATACAAACTTGAATTGACATTACAAACACACCCATAGTTAATTCATTCATAAAAAAAAAGGAAATATGAAAGTGCGAAATATATAATAGCGGAACATCTGGCACATTATAAAAAGTAGTTGTGCAATCGCAATGTCAATTTTCACTCCTTCGAGCTGTCATACGTCGTTCTTCAGCCCGGTAGTCTTGAAGTAGTTGGTCGAGTTTGCGAATGTATGTCGAGCTCTCGCTAAAAGTTCTTCAGGATATGGGCCAATCCGTAGGGGTTCGAAAAGAGGATCGGGATTGTTACAGTAATGGTGTGCTAATGCCCGAAACTGAAAATAATTTTATTTACGAACCGTATACTGTTATGTATGTTGGTTCTAAAAAATTACGTACTAGAAAAATGGAATTCCAAAATAGTTACTAATAAAACAAATTTGTTAAAAGAAACAAGATAACACTTTAATTTTAACATACCACAATTGTTGCCTCACAATCATCGTCGTCAATATAGATGGTCTTCGCATTTATCTCGAAGACACTATTTTCATGTTCTGGAAATTTTTAAATGTTCGATACTGTCTTTCAACACAATGAACGTGACATTAACATCCTTTAAAAGTCAAATTTTGACCGACCCCCAAACAACTTCGGTAAATTATGTCAAATGCCATAACAACGTCAGCCTCGCTGTTTAACCGTTCAGGCTGGATGAAATGTATAAGGATTGTACAAAATAATTCTTCAGTTGCTGGAAGCCATTTGTTTGAACCCTTCTCGTATAAACTGGAAATGTTCATCTTTTGTCTTTGGCAATGCCAAATCTCACATAATTTAAAGAAAAAAAATTAAATTTATACGTTTTGGTGTAGTGATTTTAGAGGTAAAACCAAGTTGGTATATATAAACAACAATTAAAGATGATAATTAAATTGAAAATGTATCAATGTGTCCCAAACCACATGTCTTCCACTGAACTAGAAAAAGATAAGACATTTTTACTTATACACCAGTGTTCGACTATGTCAATTTGCCCAACTGTAAATAAAGTATTAGAAGCTATTTGTATGTTTAATAAATTAAAATTAAAAGGAACATAATTAAAACTTATACAACACCCGTGTATTACACGGGTGCTTGTTAAAAAATTATTCTTAAATTTTAAAATTAATGAGAAAACTATATTAAATTTAGTTTACTTTTTTACAAAAAAAAAAAAATATATATTACTATATATTTTAAAATGATATGTGTTATTTATGACTTACGTGTGTTATATTATATTAGTTTTTATAACTTATATCATATAACTACTTGAAATATAAATATGTTAGTTGATATAAATATATTGTATTGGTTATTTATATTTTTTTTTTTTGTTATTATTTGAATAAACAGATCAACGCATCTTTCATGAAAAAAATCAAATAATTCCAATAATATTGGATCGAAAAGCATCGTGATAGACATCTTGAGTGACGACGATAATGAAAATACAACTCTTACTACACTAATCAAGTTTCCACCAAATATTAGTATGTGGTGACGATGACTTGTCACCAAATTATACAATAAAAGTTGTATACACATAAATGTTCAATGGCTCATAAAGTTTTATATTACGTCCGACCTGTATACGTGTGTTACATACATAACAAGACCATTAAATTTAATATTCACTATTTAAAAAATTTAAGCCAAATATATTCCCCGTGCATCGCACGGGCTATGTACTAGTACATATACAATTCAATAGTTATAATAAAGAATGATATTAAAATGCAATTAATGCATGTAACATGATCATAAATAATCAACATATTTATAGTAATTCGAACCTAATTATTTTTAGTTTGGAATTAAATTAAAATTTATAAAATCCGGATAACGAAATATGTAATTTTGCCATATAGGATTCTGAAACACCAGAAGTAGCCACGTAGACTCTTGTGAATTAATATATAGGGGGAGAGGGATTATACTAGTAGTAGGATTATTTCCGTGCTCCTCCCTCGCCAAACATGCCCTAAGACCATAAGACGTGAAAACCCTTGAGGAGAGCACCCGCCCGTTCTTTTCTACTTTATTCTATTCCACATCTCCAATCCACACTGCGGTGCGGACTTTATCCCGCTCCTGCGTATCCGTAGATTAGATTCCCTTTTTCACTTGAAATTAGGGTTTTCTCGATACATCCAATTTCATGGCAGATCGGAACAATATCACAGCTAACAGCAACAATTCCGCTGCGGCGGCGGCGGTGGTAGCGGTTCCCAAGCCGATATGGATGAAACAAGCGGAGGAGGCCAAGCTGAAGAGCGAAGCAGAGAAGGCCGCTGCTGCCAAAGCCGCATTCGAAGCCACCTTTAACAGTTCCCAACTTCAACAACCTCAACCCCCATCGGCCGCGTCACCCGCCTCTTCGGATTCTGACGACGATGATGACAGAGCGTCTGAGATGAAAAGCTCCGTGGGGCCCGTGGACCCTTCCAGGTGCACAGCTCAAGGGGCAGGGATTGCTGGAGGTACGGCTTGTGTGGCGGCCACGTTTACAGTAGTCACGAAGGATGCCGAGGGGAGGAAGGTTGTTCAGGGTGGGGCTCAAGTAAAGGTCCGCGTCTCTCCAGATGTTGGAGTTGGAGGTGATGAGCAGAACGGGATAGTGAAGGATATGGGGGATGGAAGCTACAGTGTGACTTATGTGGTTCCTAAGAGGGGAAGCTATATGGTACATGTGGAGTGCAACGGGAAGCCTGTTATGGGAAGTCCTTTCCCCGTCTTCTTTAGCGCAGGTGAAATTCTCTTTTGTATTGTTAAAGTAATATAGTTCTCTATGAGTAGACGGAAGAGCCCATGCAAGTTTGCTTGTGTCTGCCTAGATATACTTTATACACATTATTTTTGTCTCCATATAATTATTTTTATTTCTAAATGTCTGCATTAAGTGTAGTAGATTACATTATCATGGTGTTATTGGTGATGTATGTATATTTAGTTCTAGTATGTTTCATGGATTCAAGATTCTATATGGCTGAATGTAACGTTCTTAAGTAATGTGTAGTTTGATAGATCGGTGAGCATAATTGTATGTGTATGTGCATAGTTATGTATCAGAGGGCTATTGGTGATCCTGAGTTGCTGTAAGGAACTTTTATTTACCTGCCAGAAGTACTTTCCCTGGGGCATCTGAAGTAAACTATAGAACACTAGTGCCAGAAGTTCTGCATGAATGCATGCCTTACAATTTTTATTTACATCACAGTATGGGTCCCAGATCTTTATTAATTTGAACCTATAACAATAGGCATGTCAAAGGACAGACAGCAGTTTATTATTTGTTATTTATTGGATTAATATGAAGGCCACTGTTTTGAAGGTTGTAAGGATTTCCTTCTAGCTTGCAGGATTTTGTACTAGCTCATGATGCCTTGTATGCAAGTTAGATGACAGTGCTCGTTCCTTCACGATATTGCTTTTCGGGTTTGTGTATTGATATTGTAGTGGTGGAAACTCTTTAGAATGTCATCACTGGAAAAATAAATGCATGCTATTGAGTGAATCGATTATGATGATGATTTATTGAATTAGATGAAAATGTGTTGATCTTGGAGGATATTGCATTTTGGGTTTGTTTTTGATGTGTGCTCTAGGGCCTGTCTGCTAGGATTAAATTACATATGCCCAACCAACAGTGTATTTAAACCTAGCCGTTATTATGTATCTACCCTATCCACTTCGTACACTATCTGTTTCGAGTTTGATCACATCATACTGCTCTCTCTCTCTCTCTCTCTCTCTCTCTCTCTCTCTCTCTCTTTCTCTTCTTTTTATATTTCAATGAATACTGCTTGCTAATAGGTACAGTGTAATAATACAACATCATCCACTTCCCGGAGATGCTTTAAATCTATATTTTAAGTTAAAAAAATGATTCTCAGCCCTACAACAAACAGGTATTTTTACTGTTCACAAAATTCTAAAGGCCACAACTCCAAAATTGTGGATTAGAATGAAGCCTAGCGCAGACATGCTCTTTGGTTGTTTATAGAGATATAGATCAAAAGAACTTTAGGACTTAATTAATTAGGGTTTTAGTGTGACATAAAATGCTGGAATTAGGTGGTTAATTCAGTTAGACGGTATGTTCTGTGACATAAACACCACATATACCCAGTGAGCCTTATATTGCCTAGAAACATAGCTGCTACCTTATAAGTTGGTTTGCTGGACTAGTGTTTTGATTTATGTTAAGAACTATAATTAATTGGTTATCATCTTACAAATAACTAGCGCAAAGACTTAGTATGGCACGGCCTTTTGATAAAACATGTGCATGAAAAAAATCATATAATATAATAAGAATAATCACACAAACTATTCACTTCAAATTCTGAAATTTTGTTTGTCCGCTATACTGGGTATGTTGTTGTTGAATTTACAGTTGCACCATTCTGTCGCAACAGACTTCCAAAACCTTTTATACATCATTTCTTTGACAGGGGGGCAACCGGGAAAGTTGTATCAGTTAGTTCTATGGGAAGAGCTTTTAACTTGTCTTTTGTGTTATTTAGGAACTCCCACTGGTGGTCTTCTTGGAATGGCTCCAGCTGCTTCCTTTCACACTTTAGTGAACCAAACCATACCCAACATGCCAAATTATTCTGGTTCTGTATCTGGTGCTTTCCCAGGGTTGCTTGGTGTTGTTCCAGGTGTTTCTTCAGGGGCCTTGGGTGGAGTGGTTTTGCCTGGACTAGGTTCCTCTTTAGGAGAAATATGCCGAGAGTACCTTAATGGACGATGTGCTGCTACTGACTGCAAGTTTAATCACCCACCTCAGCATCTACTGATGACTGCTTTAGCTGCCACCACTACAATGGGAACATTGAGTCAAGTGCCAATGGCACCGTCTGCTGCTGCAATGGCTGCTGCTCAGGCAATTGTTGCTGCTCAAGCCCTTCAAGCCCATGCTGCAGCCCAAGCTCAGTCCTCGAAGGATTCTGGTTAGATGGAATATTTCATCCGTGCATATATTGCTCTCTTAGATAAGTATACACATTTACGTGTTTGCGAGTGCAGAACTTTACTATTGAAATGCCAGTCATAATAACAATTATCCGGGAGTTTCTTCCCAAGTGGGCCTTGTTTTAAGGAGATAATGTTTGAACTTATTTTGTCAATTTCATTTGTATTGTCAACAATTTTCTAACCTTATCTTTGTGTATTAGGTTCTGCTGACAACGAACGGAAGGCAGATTCACTTAAAAGAACTGTTCAAGTTAGTAACCTCAGCCCACTTCTGACTGTCGATCAGTTGAAACAGCTTTTTAGCTTTTGTGGAACTGTTGTGGAGTGTACAATTACGGATTTAAAACATGTAGCCTATGTTGAATACTCAAAGCCAGAAGAAGCCACTTCTGCGTTGGCACTGAACAATATGGATGTTGGGGGTCGTCCATTGAATGTCGAAATGGCAAAATCACTACCTCCAAAACCCATTTTGAATTCACCATTGGCTTCATCGTCTTTGCCTATGGTGATGCAGCAAGCTGTTGCCGTGCAACAAATGCATTTTCAGCAGGCTCTATTAATGCAGCAAACGCTGACTGCCCAGCAGGCAGCTAACCGTGCAGCTACAGTTAAGACTGCAACAGAATTAGCTGCAGCTAGAGCTGCGGAGATAAGTAAGAAGTTGCAAGCTGATGGACTGGTTGTGGAGGAGAAGGAATCTGGCAAGATGTCTAGGTATGCATACACGTCTCTTAGTGTCCGTAAATGTTATTAGTCGACAATTTTTTTTTAGTGTCTTCGTATGATTTCATCTGATTAATGTTCATTATATGATGTGTGGGCAAGAAGATATTGTTTCCATCTCTTTGGAATGATTTGCCTGCCTGAATTTAACTGTGAAATGGTCCTTATATTTGTGGCATTAGTTTGCAGCTGATCTTATGTTGTGGTATTCCTTGCCTAAGTATTACATATGATGTTCATTTTTCTTTGAATACCTTTTATTTCATTCTGTTTTTGACATTCTCTTCAGTTCCCATTGAGCAAGAAAACTTGTTTGTAATTTTTGTCTTATTCAGCTGGTTCAGTATAACTGTACAAGCCAACTCGCAATAAGTAGTTATGATTTTTCAGGTCACCATCTCCAACTCATGCCAAGTCAAGATCTAGGTCAAGATCCAAGTCGATGTCTCCTATCAATTATAGATCAAGACGAAGGTCAGTGTCATACTCACCTCCTACTCGTCGCAGTCGAGACTATAGATCCAGATCACCTAGAAGATCTCGCTATTACTCGAATTATGAGGTGGATCGTAGATACTACAGAAACAGTAGGGATGCTAGTGACAAGCATAGAAGACGAGTGCACGATGATGGTTCACCTGTTCACAGGAGAAAGAGGAGCAGGAGTGTGAGCCCTCAACCTAAGAAGGTGTACCGTGAAGATTTAGGCTCACCTAGACGCCACCGAGAAAGTCATGTTGATAGAACAAAGAAATCGACACACAGTGATTCAAGGTCTCGCTCTCATAGGAGAAGATCTTCATCTTCAGGGGATGAAGCATGTAAATCAAAACATAGGAGGCACTCCTTATCTAGATCTGATGAAGTTAAGCATCACTCTTGTGATAAGAAAGACAGGACAAATGAAGAAAAACCAAAGAACCGGAACAGGAGACGCTCCAGATCAGGTTCTATAGAGGGTCAAGATCATGGGCGGAAATTTACCCCAAGAGTTCTGGAGGAGAGCAAATCGAGACACCGAAGACGATCAAGGTCCAGATCTTTAGAAGATAAGCATCAGTCAAGTGAGAAATATGAAGGGAGCAAAGAGGATAAATCAAGAAACCGCGATAAAAGACGTTCTAGGTCGAAATCAACTGAAAGGAAGAATAGGAAAGGCAGTAAGGCTGCTGTAGGGCGTTCAGATGGTGAACACAAGTCGAAACATAGGAAGCAGTCTCGATCACCACATAGGGAATGCTCCGAGTCTTATGAGAATAATGATAATTTAGATGATATTGTTCCTGTTGAAAGCAAAGGTATACCAGTGAAGGATAAGAATGATACATCTGTGACATTAAATGATGTCTATGTGGACAGGTCGAATGAATTGATGGATATGAATGCTGGAGAGGCTGCAATTGTTGAGAATTCTTCGAAATAATGCCAAAAAATTGTGGAGATCTGTTGCTGTAAGTTCTACCGCAGGATCTTTACATGTTCATGTCGTCTGCGGATTGGTTAAGTGGAAAGGTCTTTCAAGAGATCTGGCATTTGGGTTGATGGTCAAGATATAATCAATTGTTTACGATCCTCGTGATAATGTACTCTACGTTGTGTTTTCTTCTC